ATGGCATCGATGCCAATTACAGTGACTTTTTACTTGCAGATTCCAAAAAAAGAAAGTGGTGAAAATTTTTTTAGTGGACTTTCAATGGTTACTTTCTTAGTTGCTTTGTTAGGGTTAGGGTTATGATTTTATGTTGTTACTAGTTTGTTGGCTTTTTTGTTGGATCTCTTAAACTTTGTAATTTTTGTCTTTATTTTAACGAAAATATCATTCTCTCTGATAAAAAAAAAAAAAACAAATTCAAGGCTATCAGCTTGCTTCTCTTGTACAAGCAATAAACACATGACTTGCAAGCTAGCTATTTCCTTTCCTAGTCATTCATTATTCACACAATGCTAGACTTTCTTCTTTATATATTGTAATTAGGCTAAATATACTTTTAGTCATTTAATTTAACACAAGCTTTCAGTTTAGTATTTTAACTCTAAAAAGTCGAAAAAGTAAAAAGAGAGATAAAATGATTCGGCTTTGGATATCATGATACTTTTTTTTTTCTAGGTACATGTGTCATTTGATTGACGGTGATCCTGTTTGAAACACTATCGAGTACTAAACGTGGGTACCTATCACAGTGAGAATTCAAATCTTAGTTCACCATGTGGATACCATGATACTGAATGAATGAGAAAGTGATTATCTTACTTTTATTACTTGTTAAGTCAAGTATTTATACAATTGATCAGTTAAATACACAGCAATTTGTCTCTAACTCAAAAACAAGTATTATCTCCCAGACACCAAATGCATAATTTAGCCATTATATTATTTGTCTCTTTGCCATTTTGTCCATATAAAAAAGAGTGCACCATAATCAATATTAAGTGTTTAATTTCTAGTTGTAAGTATGTGTACGTAAAACTTATATATCAGTAACCTACCACTTGTACTAATTTCAAATTGTATGGGTAAATATGAACTTAGAAATATATTGTATTTGTGAAAAAGATAAGTCCAAAAGTTAGTTGAAATTGAGGATTGAAAATATTATCTTATGGCTTCTTCTTTCTTTCATAAATACATATCACGATTGCACACATTATTGTCAATAAAATAAGACATTTCAATTGAAAGAAAGAATATATATATATATATATATATATATATATAAAACTTTATTTTCCCAATTAAATTGACATATAACAATGTCAGTGTCATTTCAAAACATGCATGATGTCTTCCAATAAAAAATACACAATCTTGTTATAATTTAGTTTAGTAACTAGAGGATACACAATGAGCTTAGCGTTCGTCCAATTACCGATAGTACAATTTCTTACCACTTATTTATCGCTTATTATATAAAAATATTGAATATTTAATGGATGGCTATATATGTTGCCGAAGTCACCAAAACACGGATATAATTTTTTTTATTATCAAGAAATCAAACCCTGAAATTATTAGAATGAGTTAAATATGTTGACATATCTTGGCTACGTCTTCCCTCCCCCCCCCCTTCCTTCAAAAAACGAAAAAATTTGTTTACCATGGCTTGTAATTCCAGAAGAAAAGCTCTTAATACATATACTCCATCTGATTAAGACTCACTGTTTTAATATTTTAAATAATAGAGTTGACAAAGTACATATATTTTTTAGAGAGAGAGAGAGAGAGAGAAAAGCTGTTAAAAGTTGAATAATTGACCCACTTGGCTTTAATAATGAGTCACATAAAACAATTTGGAAGAGATAAAGCAGGAAGCAAAGAAACAGCGAACAGAGGAACCACCCTTTCTCTTTTTCTACTTTTCTCAGTTTTCGAGAAATGATAACTTCTACTATAGTTTGAAAAAATAATAATTTATCAATCAAGAAAAGTAATGGAAGTTCTAAACAGAAAAGGTACGATGGCCGAACGGTGATCAATCTTACAAGAGTCATAATTTTCATTTATACAATAAAATTATAAAACTATACATACTAATTCACCTACAAGATAACTCCACCAAACACGGAGGAAAATTAAACCTGATGTAATTTATTTGCAGAGGACTAAGACCAAGGTAGCTCAGGTGGTGAGATGAGGATAGGGTCGTTATCTAATAATTGGTGGAATAATATAAAATGTACGTGAAGAATAGAAGGGAATGCCTTAATTCGTTTACCAAAACATAAATTAATGCCTTACTTCGCATAATATTATATAATACGCATATGTGGATGGTTGGTGGATTAATAATGACTTTGAAAATAGCTACAGAAAATTATTAAATATAAATTTTGGAGCGTTAACTTTCTTGATTTCTTCTCATAACTTGTAAGTGTCTGGTTCTGCATCTCATTATTCGTTGGAAAATTTTCAAAGACCAGACATACATATCCCACTTCGTCTTTGTCGCTAACCAAAGCAGAGTCCTAAGAAATATGATTCTTAACGCCACGCTTTGTCCCTATTATAACAATTCTCTCTTCAATTTTCCCTTTTAATCAAACATCACCAATTAACTAACCATATACTAAGGAATCTTTATTGACTCCAAACTTTTGAGTCTTTGAGGGATATATCTACATATAGACACACGCGCACACACAAAACCAAAACATCGAGCCTTTGAGTCTTTTTTTTCTCCTTCGAAGAATTTGAAGAGAGGATTATCTTACATGCAATAGGAAAAAACCTAAAATTGGGCCAACAGTTGTGTTGTTAATTTCTGAAAATTATAATAGTAATTTTTCAGGATAGAAAGCAACCATACTATTATCATATAATAATTACTAGCCACCTGATTTTATAAAATTGGCAATCAAAATTATTAGCACGTGCAACTTCCAAAAAAAAAGATAGCAAGATTTTGGTAAGACCTTACTAAGATAACATTTTGGGTGATTATAGATTTTAGGGTATTTGAACATATTTTCCTGTAGTTAAGCTCATTAATTAGACATAACTTTTTTATCCAAAATTTTTATGAAAAAACTACTATATGCGTGGCCTCAAGAAACAAATATAATTGCAAAAAAATTTATAATAAGTGAATAACAAGTTTCAGTATAAAAAATGACATAATCTTTTTTAAATTAGATTCTTTTTGTGGGATTTCATGATGATTTCCCCAATTTTTATTTCTTTGGTGGAAATAAATTAAGAAGACATATGATTTAGCTACCTATGGTATGAGTAAAAGAAAAAAAAAGGAAAAGGATAATAAAAGAAACAAAAAAGAGTGAACCTTGGAGTTCATAGCAAGGGACGAATCGTTGGATATTTGTGGCACTAAATCCGATGGCCACAGATGAAAGAAATATGAGTCGTTAAAAGAACAAGTTTTTCTTTGGTCCGAATTAAAGGAACAAGTATAGAAGTGGATAAGGTTTTTGTGATTGGTAATTTTAGTGTTTGTCATCAATTATGATCCTTCTGCACAGAAATTTTCACTATTTATTTAATTAATGTGGTCCGCAAGTCTCAAGCCAAAGTAAAGATCGAAAAGACACTAATTGTACATATACCAGCAACTACTCTTACAATAATAATAATAATAGAACTTGTGAAATTTTTTCAAGAACCATGAGGGTGAAAGATAACAATAATCACTAATACGTGTGTATGTGCGTACGCATGTGTGGATAAGAGGGAAGGAATTGAGGAAATCTATAGGGGAAGAAGCAAGCAAGCAAGCAATATTTTAGTACGTTTCATTTCTTTGGGCATTTTCTGCATGGAATATTTGAAGTACAGTTTATGAAACTGATAATATTGGCTGTGAAAAAACGGTAATTTTGCTATTTACCCTTTTTACCCTATAATTAGTGACGAAATCAATATGCAAAACATACGTAATCAACCCCTTTGGAAAGTAATTATATATATTGACTTGGTTTAAAGCATGCTGTTCACTGTTCACCTTTATTATTTAGCCGTCTTTCTTTCCTTCTCTCTTTCAAAGTGCATATTGCGCTCACCCATTTTATAATTGAAAAGTCATACCAGTATGTCCGCAAATTAACCAGCAAAAAATCACATCTTAGACCCAGATCTTATCTTCAAAATTATAATTATTTTTAAATATTAATTAAAATCACTATTCAATTTTCTGAACTTTTTATGCATTAAAAGCTAATATTAATTTTTCAAAAAAAGTGAAATTCTTAACTAAGCTAAAAAAAAGTCATATTTTTTAAAGCTTGTACTATAATACATCTCATAAAATTAGAATTTTAGATTCTTAGCTTAAAATTTTTTAAAATGAGTTATTTCGATGTGACATTTTTAAGGAAAAAAGTCTCCCATTTAAAATTTTATTGCTGAGAAGAACATGATGCATTTTTATACATATAAAAAGCACCGGTACTTTGCAAATTTTATACGCGCACAGTATTTTCACTTTGATTTTGCTCTGTTCCACCAATAAAATTTTTAGTTCAGGACTTTTCTTCAATTTTTCCAATGTCTCAATTACCAGATATTATTGACTTTTTTTCAGTGTAAAACTCAAGAATCAAGCTAATCAAAAGAAAGAACCTAAAAGAAAAAACAGCAGCACTAACTTCCCTCATCCCGCCTCTACTCTTAAAGTTGGAGGGTTATCAAGATACAAAAATTTCCTACTATCCTATGAGTATTAATATTTAATTTAAACTCATAATCTTACATTTAAAATATACTCATAAAATTTTTTCTTCAAAATAAAAAACTTCAAAACTTGAGCCAAAGGATAGAGTATAACAGGACAAGATGAGGGATTGGGTTTGCACTTTCCTCAAACAAACCGACAAACCACGTGACACAAAGCTGAAGAGAAGATAATTAGGACCATGACCTTATTGATCCATCATCATCATAAACCTAGAAGATGATAAAGCTGAAGCCTTATAATTACAATTAGAAAAACGAAAAAAAAAAAGATTAACGAGGTCTTGCAAGTCTTCTAGATAATTTATATTAAAAAAACAAAAAATATTAAAAGTAAAAAGAGCTCGAGGGAAGATCAAAATTACAAAAAAGTAATGGTAGACATCGTGATTAAGCAAAGACCCATGGTTGACAATGCCACTCCATCGGGAAAAAAAAAATCAACTTTTCTTATTTATCTCACATAATAATATTCTACTGATTCCCCGTTAAAGGACTACCAGCATTTAATTATCACATTTCTGGCCAGAAAAGAAAACAAAAAAATTAACTGTCTGTAATAATAATCATCATCATAATATTCCTCTGACTTGAGAAAACAAGAGCTAATAATAACAAGATTATTTTTATATTTAATTCTGACATGTTACACTGACGTGTTCGACACGTGGCAAAGGGGCTCTGAGGACGACGACAACAACGATGATGCTGATCTGGGAAAGCACCATAGGTCAATGTCGCTGCTATTGTAATCTTGTGCGTGAGGACTCACGTACGCCGCTCTGTGTGTGGACGTTGACGTCGATGATGAGGAAGATCGTAGGGTGGCCATTTGCAGATCCTGAACGACGTCGTTAGCACAGTAACCCATCATCATGGCGCTGCTCGCGGGGTCAGTACTGAAGCAAGCAAGCTGCCTTGAAGACTCGGTCTGGCCATTGAGCTGCGAAGCAACAAGACGATCCAGAGCCGCCCATTTGGCGAGTCTTCCGCCATTAGATGCATCCATGTTATGAACGGTCGGGAAGGAGCCTTCCATCTCTGGAATCATAGGGTGGTACCCACTGTTGGTGTCGATAATGGTATTATTATTATTCTCTAGGCTTGTGGACTTTGGACTTTCTAAGCTTGGGAGCTTCAAGAACCTTTCATTGTAGTTGTTAGAACTGTTATTATTACCGCCACTGTTGAAGCTTGACAGAGTGAATCTTCCATTGTTGCTGTAATTCGCTTCGTTCTCTTCCTTGCAGCTTCTTCCTATTTGCTGAAGTATCTGCTCTAAAGCTCCTTCGTCCTCGCAGGAGTAATCGAAGATGTGGCTTCTTCTGTTGCTATCTCCGGTAATAATGGACGAAGCCAAGGGGCTGTCTAGGGTTTTCAGATGGTTCTTCTTCTTGAATATTCTGCACACCACCCATCCTTCTTCCTGGGCTCCATCTCCCATCACATTCGGCACCTGAATTTATATGGCACCAAGAAAATTCCATAAGTTCTACCAATATAATGCTCGAAGTTCACATGCCAAATCTTATAACTGCTTTTCTGGAGTATCGAACCCAGAAGTTGTCTTCTGGGTTCTACTTTCAGAGTGTTCGCAGAAGAAGTTGAATTCAGATTAATAAACGGATATTTTTCACTTTCATTAACCGGCCAACACAATCAATCCAGCACCAATTTCTGTTCATAAGGAATATACTGAATTCACAAAGAAGGGAGACTGTATCTGAAGCTAATCGCTTTATCAGGTGAGTGGTTTATGCAGAATATGAATGTGTTTTTCAGGGTCAAATATATACTTACGATGTTGGTGTCGCTGGGGTTATCATCCAATCGATATTCGTGCATGATCCAATCAGATTTCTGGCCATGAGGGGCTCGGCCTTTGTAGAAGACAAGAGTCTTCCTCATTCCGATCCTCTTCCCGTTGCTGTATATCACCTTATCCCGGCCGGTGGCTTTCCAGAATCCGGCGGCCGTTGCTCGGTTGGTTCTTGTGCCGGTGGGGTACTTCTTGTCTTTGTGGCTGAAGAAATACCAATCGTTCTGCGGGGTGGTTCCTATCTTACACTTCTCTGGCAAGACAAACCCAGAAATCCAAATCAACAATTGCAAATAATATAAGGACATCATGAAAAGCAAAGCAAGAAGAGGAAGAAGATTGAAGAGGAAGAAGATCGTTGTGTGAGCATTACCTTGAATATCCCATGGCTCGAGCTTGTTGAGATCGACGTCACGAATGACATCGAGGTCAATCTTCTCGTAGGAAACTTTCTTCCTCAAGTAGTACTGCAAAAGCTCCTCTTCGGTGGGATGGAATCTGAAGCCAGGGGGGACCTGAGATTGTCCATTCACAGAAATACTCATGTTTTCCGGCATTCAGGTGACCAGAAACCAGAAGAGAGAAAGGGAGTGAGGTTGCTTCAGCTAGGAAGTGGGCTTGAAGTGTTAGTTCAAGCAGAGAGAGAACATTTAGAAGAGGGAAGAAGAGGGAGATAACAAGAAAGGAAAGAGGAAGGAAAAGGGCAAGATGATGAGGTGGTGTACTGGAACGGCGGAAGACTATATATATGTGGCGGGGGACGGAAAGGACCAAAAGATCCACGAGGAAAATTTTTCGAATTATTAAATACGATACTGTTTCAATTCCTTTGCATATATGATATATCAGTTATTAATTAATACTTTGTTTTGATATACTTTCTACGTTCCGTTGAATGTCCCCATTGGGACATATTTAGTTAAAAATAATTAACGGAACACATGCATGTAAGACCCTTGCTATTTATTATTAATCTATAACTTCAAGGTCAAAATAGTCCAAACATTTTTAAAATATTATTTTTATTGCATTTTATTTTGAACTTGATGGCTAATAAATTTTGATTAACTAATGGGGAAAAATGGTAGCAAAAATATTTGTCGTTATTTTTGTCTCTCAATGTAATTTGAGACTGGAGCAGCCCAATTATGAAAGTAATTATTCGATATACATTCAAACATTTATTTTTTGGTTAAAATAAATATAGATGCAAAGCATGTTTTGTTTGTTTTGAGAAAATATGAGTAAATTGTTATTAAAAGGAAAAGATTATGTATTAATTAAATGAGCTATATTAGTAATTAATTAAGAGGCGCAGGTGTTAGTTGGAAGAAACTATTAAGTACAAAAACTCAAATTTCAGTTCATGGGATTTGGATTCAGTTCTTCTATTACTCTCTCCTTCCTTAGATTTAATCTTCAATGTTTGAGATTTAATATTTTGTAAGATTATTATTAAATATTTATCAATAAATTAAAGTAATGAACAAATGAATTTTAACTACAACTAAAATTAAATTTGATTAATTTGAATATATAGCGAAGAAAAATATAAGGGTGGGTGGGAATGTGAAATGTAAGAGGAGAGGAGCTAACTAAGGGGATGTTCAGGTCGGAACCTCTCCTTCTTCCTTTACCGTCCTCTTTCCTTCTCTTCTTTTTACTAATCATTAGATTAACATATTTTAACAGGTTAGATTTTAACTTTTTATAATTAAACTACTTATAAAAAAATTAAAAAATATTTAGTACATTTGCAAACTATTAGAATTAAATTTTAATATAGTTTGTAATTTATTATTTATTTATTTTTATAATTTATTCTTTTAATAATATTTTTAAAAAATTTAAATTCGAACCGTTAAAATATTAATCGAATGGTTAAAGAAAAGAAGAGGAGGGAAGAGGGTGGAAGGGGAAGAAAAGAGGTTCCAAATCGGGAGATGTTTGGTTATTGCTAAAAGTGCTTTCTAAAAGTACTTTTCTGTAAATCGAGATAAATTAAATGGTTAAGATGTATCCAGCACTCCCAAGTATTTTGTCACGTGCACCTAGTGGCCTAAAGTAATTTATGGTACAATTTTGCCCTCAAAGTAATTAAAATGGTGCACCGGTATCCCATGCTAACAGATCTGTTACTTTGACTGTTAAATTGATAAGTCAGCACAAGTTTGACCAAAATAATCTGACGTGGCATGTCTAATAAGCAGGTGATGTGGAATTTTTTCGCGGTTAAGGTGCATCCAGCACTCCCAAGTATTTTTTTCAGGTGCACCCAGTGGCCTAAAGTAATTTATGGTGCAATTTTGCCCTCAAAGTAATTAAAATGGTGCACGGGTATCCTATGCTAACAGATCTGTTACTTTGACTGTGAAATTGATGAGTCAGCACAAGTTTAACTAAAATAATCTGACCTGGCATGTCTAATAAGTAGGTGATGTGGAATTTTTTTCGTCTGCAACTGCTTTGTTTTCTCTATTCAGTAAATGCTCTCTTCGGCTCTTGGAATTTTTTTCAAAGTAAGAAATTTTTTCAGAGATACTCCTTTGGTTCTATTTATAGGGTAGAGAGAGAAGATATTTTTTGGTCCTATTTATAAGGCACTGAGAGAAATTTTTTGTATGGATGTATAAATTTACCCCTCATTTATTATTATATTGACTTTGTTTATATGAGGTATAATGTATATTAAATAGGGATAAAGTTGAAAAGTTATTAAAATTTAAATGAGAGTTAATGAAATTTAAGGTTTTCTTTGGTCTGTGTGAAACATGCTGGAAGTGCCTTATAAATAGGACCAGAGGAGTAATATTCAGACAAAACAATGGAATTAACAAAAAAAGCCATGTCACCTGCTTATTAGACATGCCAGGTCAGATTATTTTGGTCAAACTTGTGCTGACTAATCAATTTCACAGTCAAAGTAACAGATCTGTTAGCATAAGATACCGGTGCACCATTTTAATTACTTTGAGGGCAAAATTGCACCATAAATTACTTTAGGCCACTGGGTGCACCTGGAAAAATACTTGGGGGTGCTGGATGCACCTTAACCCCGAAAAAATTCCACATCACCTGCTTATTAGACATGCCACGTCAGATTATTTTGGTCAAACTTGTGCTGACTCATCAATTTAACGGTCAAAGTAACAAATCTGTTAGCATGGGATACCGATGCACCATTTTAATTACTTTGAGGGAAAAATTGCACCATAAATTACTTTAGGCCACTGGGTGCACCTGGCAAAATACTTGGAGGTGCTGGGTGCACCTTAACCCTAAATTAAAATTATTCACATATTTACTTTGTCTATCATAAAATTATTTTTAAAATTATAGTTTGGTTTCTATCCAAATACTCTCAAATATTAGTGAATATGGAAGGTTAAATGTAAATTAGTGGTAAAATGAAGAAGCTGATGATATGATCATACTCTTCCAGTCCTAAATATAAGATCCTTATATAGTGTATATAAGAATTTTATATTTAAGACAAGAAGAGTAATAGATAGCATGTGAGAAGAGGAGGGGGTAGAAGAGTGATATTGTATAACGGAGAAGAAAAGAGAGTGGGGCAGTTTTGGGGGGAGAGGGATCGGAAAAGAGGCACCTACCAGAAAGGAGGGGAGAGGGGGGGCCCAGGTGTGTGCGGGTATCGCTCAAGGGGCCCACACGGGAATGAGGGAGGACAGGGGAAGGGCGCACGCGCACGTCCACAACTACGACCTCTGACCTTAAAATCTCAAGGGAAAAGCACATCTTAAACAACCATGGACCATCTTCCATCTCCTGCAACCACCGCCAACTACACTGCCTTTCCTCTTTCTCATGCATCCCTCCCTCCTTTTTTATACTCTCTATTATTCTTTCTCCAAATAAACCCCATGTACAAACAAGGTGTTTGGATGATACGCCAGTGAGGAGGGTAGATCGGGTACGAGCAACTAACGTTTTTATTCCTCTTCTGTTCTCTACTAATGTTGCAATAGATTCGTGCTTTAATTTTTTCCAATTGAGAGATTGAAAGGAGCACTTAATGGTGTGCTGAGCAAGAACTCTTTGGTTAATTGATACTAAAAATTTGATTGTTGGTTGTTAAAGCTTAATGATGTGATATGATGATCTTATACTACCCCTTAATATAAAACCTCATTTGACTTTTATTTTGATCCTAAAAATAAGACCTCGATTCACTTTATTTATCATATATATTTATACATTTTTTCTAAGGTAGTTCTTCTAATAATAGTCGTTCTAGCCTATATACGTGATTAGCAAGGATATTTTAGAAAAGACAACATCTATTTATGACAAATAACTAATTTAACTTATTTTCTTAATCTATTTAAATTAGTCAACTAACTCTTATATTTAGGACTGGAGATTATATTGTTTAAGGTTTCTTGTAGTTGTATCATTCATTCTTCTTGTTTCACTTATACACCAACTTTCTTATGCAACATGAATGTCACTAACGGACATACATATGAGATGAATACCTAGGTGGTTGTGGTTTATATATGATTCGACAGCGTCCTACTCTGTCCTCTCTCTCCCTTTCCCACCCTGTTTTTGTTCTCTTCTCCCTTTGGTTTCTCTCCTTCCATTAGTTTTACAACCCAATGTCAAAGGCAAATAGTAGTTACCCGGCTAGCTAGTATACTGATTATTGTTTTTTCGCATTCAGAAACCAAAACTAATTAACAAGGTAATTATTTTTGACAGACATTTCTTTTCTCCCTCATTCATCCCCTTTTTTCTTCTTTTATGTTCACTTTTACTTTCATAGGGTCTTTATATAATTAAGCCATTTATTTAATTTTATTAATTTTTTTAAATTAATTAATTAGATTTTATATTAAGAATTGAACGTGATATATTGTAATTCATTGTTAATTCAAATATATATTGTGGGGAGACATAGAGGAGAAGAAATCACGAACGAAATAAAAAAATGTCAATTGATCAAGTATTAATTCCATATAATAATTAGAATCACATATATATATATATATATATATATATCATCCACGGTATATGAATCCTATGGTAGTCAGGTTTAATGGTGAACTTTCAGTGATGCACGTGAAATCCATTGGAATGCTTGTCTTGGTGAAAAACATATGGAATCTCTATAAATAGATATGGGATGGGCTCTTTCATGGACATGGACGAGGATTACATACACAGTAACCGACTGTCATTCATGCATCATCATACGTTGTGTAGATAGATGAGATAAATGTAGGACACGATTGTATTTGTCTGCCACTGTCTAGCTAATGTGTCTATATCAAGCACCTCTCCTCGGAAATATGAAAACTTGTTATAAAAGGCTTCACCCACTGATAGAGAAACGTGTACATCCAAAACTCAATTCAAAACTAATTTGTCTATATCTATATATATATATATGTCCTGGTTAATTATAAAAAAATACTACCTCCGGTCCTAATTATAAGAGTCAGTTGACTAATTTGAGGAGATTAAGAAAGTAAGCTGAGTTAGTTATTTGTCTTAAATAGGTGTTGTCTTTCCTAAAATATCCTTACTAATCAAGTGTATTGACTAGAACTATCATTGTTAGAAGGGCTACTTTGAAAAAAAATATATAAATATGAGAGATAAAGTGGATTGGGATCTTATATTTATAACCAAAATAAAAGTCAAACAGAATCTTATATTAAGGACTGGAGGTAGTAATAATTATACCAAAA